TTGTGTAAGACAGTGTGATTGGGATTTATTTTCTAGTCCTAGTCAAATAATAGCCTTTCGATATTTTTGCAACGTGATGTCAAGGAGAAAAACTGGTCTTCCATTAATTTTAATTTTAAGGACCAAGAGCCATCTTAGAAAACAGATGAGAAAAGTCACTGAAATTATCACAAGTTCACAATACATAAGCCAGATAATCATGTACAGATATAGATGCATTAAATTCTTATAAATGACACACTTATGAAAAATATATACATTAGGCCAGAAAAAATATCAATGTTTCTGATATCTTCGTCACAACTTTTTCAAAGTTTGAGTTAAATTAAATAAGAATTTATTTTGCAGCAAAAATCACCCATCTAAATACAATTTTATAGTAAAGTTATAACCACCCTTGACATCGCAAGTATCGATTTAAAAAACAAATTGACCAGAAACATTTTCCTTTTTTTTCTCACAGACCTCATCACTAGGGTTGTATACATGCATGCATACATACATAAAATAATATTGCAAGTAGATACATTATTCCCCAATGGTATAAAAAAAATAATTGGTGATGATTTGAGTGACAGGCTAAGGCATCAACTTATCATTTATCACCGTAAAATCTGTATTAGAAGCCGCATCTCTATTATAAGTCGCAACCATTCTTTTTGAAGAATTGAGAACCAAAAATTCACCATTTCTCATACGTGTAGATGCTCTAATAGAAGCCGCATCGCATCCCCTTTGTTGCATTTTGCCATTTTAATAGAAGCCGCAGCTTCTAATACAGATTTTACAGTACCATCCAAAGAGGCCAGCTTGCAATTCTTACTATTTGCTTCAATTTAACATTAGTGCCAATTTTGTGAGTTACATGTATGACATAGTTTTCTCTGTTATTTGAGATTATTTTCATTTCTTTTTTTACATTTTATTTTTTACCTTTCTCATTAAACCTTTGTAATATACGTCACTACGCAATTGTTTTATGTATTTATGTCAGAGTTTTTGAGTTTTAGTTTCTGTTTGGTTGAAATATTGGTAATAAAACACCTATCCATAGATTATGGGACTATCTATCTGTTACAACTCTATCAAATCCATGTCTGTTCACCTGGTGCATAATAACCATAGTTGGACTGAATCTAGCTATCATTTTAAATAATACGTCTGTCTTTATGTACAAACCTTGATCCAACATTATAAATGTTATAAGCTACAGTCAAATCTTTGCCTTCAACAAGCCATTGATTGAGGATATTTTTAGAAGCCAGGAGTCTTGCACCAGTATCTTCCGTTTGGCAAAAGCCGGCCAACAACAGTATACCAATAACAGCTGTGAATCGTAGCTGACAAAGAGAAAATAAAAACATTCAATAATGAGAATAAATATGTATAAATAGAGTCAAAAGTGTACAAGAAAACCATGAATTAAAGATCATGAATATATGCTGGAGATGATATAGGTCATAATCAAAGAAAGCTTAGAAAGAACTCCCATGTGCTGAGAGTATTGGAGACGCATTAAATATAATTTGAAATTACTTAGCTGAAAACTAATTATGCAAATCAGAAAATTAACATGAACAGATTTGATTGTAAAACTAATGAGGTCTGCGCAATGTAACAAAAACTCTATGTACCAAGTTTAATTGAAATGTGATTAGAACCAAAAAATTATGAATTATTATGCTAATTGGGGAAATAATACGAGTTTTACCCCAAACTAATTAGGTTTGTACATTGTCCTAGAGCATCTTTGTACTAAGTTTCATTAAAATGGAAATTAGTACTTTAGATATCAGTGTGAAAGCTTAAAATTGGTTAATTATGCAAATTAGGTGGTTAATATGCACAAATATTTACCAAAAACTAATTGGGTCTCTGCATAATTTTAGATTCATTAAAATGTGATGATTAGTACTTTTAATTTCAGTAGAAAACTGAAAATTAATTATGCAAATTAGGTAATTAATATGCACAATTATTTACCCTGAAACTAATCAGGTCTCTGCATAGTCCTAAAGGATCTATGTACCAAGTTTCATTGAAATGCAATGATTAGTACTTGAGACACCCGTGAAAAAGCTGAAAATTAACTAATTATGCAAATTAGGTGATTAATATGCACAAATATTTATCCGAAACAATCAATCTCTGCATAGTCCTTGAGTATGTAAGTACCAAGTTTCATTGAAATGTAATGCTCACTACTTATATCAAAAGCTGAAAATTAATTAATTATGCAAATTAGGTAATTATATGTACTGATATTACCATAAAA